GTTCCTGACTTAGGATGGTTTGACTTAAGATTTTTCTAATTTACAATCATGCAAAAGTGATATGTATCCATTAGAATCCATATTTTGAATTTTGATCTTTTTCCAGCAGAGTAATACCATACTCTTGTGGGATGCTGGCCAGAGGCAGTGAGCCACAGCTCCCAATCACCCACATGATCACCAGAGTAAACAAGAAATACACTTACAACTATTCTGTTCTTCACTTCAGTATTCAATAAATTACATGAGATAGTCAACACTTAATTATAAAATACGCTTTGTTTAGATAATTTTGCCTAACTGTGGGCTACTGTTGAGTGTTCTAAGCACATTTAAGGTTGGCTAGGCTAAGCTATGATGTTCAGTAAATTTAGGTATATTAAATGCATCTTTGACTTAAAATATTTTCAACTTACAATGGGTTTATCAGGACATAACCTCATCATAAATAAGTCAAGGAAGATGTGTAGCCAATTTCTATTCTTGGAATAGTGTCTAAAAAAGAAAATGTATACTCTGGTTTCTCTTCAGATCACATAAATCTTTCGCCTTTTAAAAAAGAAAATGTATTCCTTCTACATATAACAGAATGGGGGCATAGAAGGGCCTATATGCAAGGTAAGAGAATGAGATCAGAAAAGAATCTAGCTCCTCTGATTCTCAGACAATTCTTAGACCATTTATTCATTCAACAGATGGTTCGGAATATGTTTTATATACAGCATGCAATGGAGATAAAAGGGTGAACTAAATAAGTCCTTGAACTTAAGAGTGTTTAGACTTCAGCAAAGAAGGCAAACAAAACAGTAAGATGTAATTTCTATGACAGAAGTCCTTCAGAATTTCACCAATCTTTAAGGTGACAGAGAACACAAGTAAAGAAAACCAGCACAAATTTAGCAACTTTAGGAGGTGAGGTGATGTGGTGAGATGTGACCGGGAAGGAGATAAGCAGAGACTGGTTTACTTAGTTTTTTTTTTAAATTTTTTTTTCAACATTTATTTATTTTTGGGACAGAGAGAGAGCATGAACGGGGGAGGGGCAGAGAGAGAGGGAGACACAGAATCGGAAACAGGCTCCAGGCTCTGAGCCATCAGCCCAGAGCCGGACGCGGGGCTCGAACTCACGGACCGCGAGATCGTGACCTGGCTGAAGTCGGACGCTTAACCGACTGCGCCACCCAGGCGCCCCGGTTTACTTAGTTTTTAGTGCAATGTAAAGTCATTTTTTATGGTTTTAAGCAGGGAATTAATGAAATCCAATTTATACTTTTAAGAAAAACCGCACTGTGGAAACTTAGGCAACTGGATATTGTGACACCGGCTGAGAGATGAATTATGGTGGTGGCCTGGACTAACAGAGTTGACAGCAGGGACAGAGTATAATGAAAAGATAGGAGAAATGCTTAGGCTTGAGCAAAGATTAGGTGGATTTGGGGGCTGGAGATGAGAGGAAAAATGAGGCAGTTAGCCCTGGTCCTGTATACTGACCCAATTCTGGATATATTTGACCTAAATGGATATATTCACAAGACCACTGCGTGTGTAGGTTTGGTGCTTCAGAGAGAAGCCAAGTTGGAGACATGCTTATGAGTAAACACGACTTTTTGTTAATGGGGATTATAGCTATAAGGAGAAAAAAAAACAACAAAGAGAGAATGTGCATAGTACGAAAGAGCCTATGGAAAGAACTCCAACATCTGAGTAGGGCCAAGGAAATGGGCCTAAAAGAAGACTGAGAGGATGTGGCTGGAGAGCAGTAAACAAAAAAAAAAAAAAAAAAAAAAAAAAAAAAAAAAAAAAAAAAAAAAAAAAGGTAGGAGGGAGGGTAACAATTTTTAGTAAATAGAGTGTGTTAGTGTTTCCAGAAGAATATATATAGTACAACTATATAAAGTATAATATATAAAGTATACATAAAGTATTATGGTTTTTTTGTCCCTATTGAGAATTTATGATTTAACACATAGAGGGCATTGGTGACTTTAGTAAAAGTAGTTTTTGTGGTAGTTCAGTGGAATGCTGGAAACAAGACAGGATGAAATAGGCTGAGAAATAGCTCAAAGTGGAAAAAACAAAGGAAAGTAGATGATATACTCAAGAACTCTAGCTGTGAGGATGAAAAGACACAAAAATAAATGGGAGTATATCAAAATACAGTTAAGGAAGAATATTTCTAAATGCTTAAGGAAAGGTATGAGTAGAAGGCAAAAGGCAAAAAAAAAAGAGGATCCTGATTAGGGAGGAGAGGACGGTACTGGGAGACTTCAGAGATTTGTTTTCCTTAAGAAGGGACACTTTTCCAAAAATCATATGACTTCACTCATATGAGGACTTTAAGAAACGAAACAGATGAACATAGGGGAAGGGAAACAAAAATCATATAAAAACAGGGAGGGGAACAAAACGGAAGAGACTCATAAATATGGAGAACAAACAGAGGGGTACGGAGGGGTTGTGGGAGGGGGGATGGGCTAAATGGGTAAGGGGCACTAAGGAATCTACTCCTGAAATCATTGTTGCACTATATGCTAATTTGGATGTAAATTTTAAAAAATAAAAAAGAAAATTAAAAAAAAAAGAAAAAAGAAGGGACACTTTGTCTCTTTAAACAAAAGGGAAGAAGGTTTGTACATTTGGTTGTAGCAACATGATCGCTTCTGTTTTCTCTGTGTAACAGAAGAGATCATTTGTATAGGGAGAGAGAATTCTTCTCTATAAATGTCATTTGCTACTCAAGCATTTACATATTACTGAGCTGCTTAAACATATCTAATCTAGAGAGAACTCCAACAGTATAGTATGTTGAATGTTTAGAAATACCATAAAAATCCTAAGATTCAGGTAAGAAAAACTAACCTTACTGCAAAGAGAACTTTCATACCAAAGATATGTAAATTTCAGGTACTTCCTCATTCAACTCATTCCCCCACTTTTCCTATATTCTTTTTTTAAAATTTTTTTTCCAACGTTTTTTATTTATTTTTGGGACAGAGAGAGACAGAGCATGAACAGGGGAGGGGCAGAGAGAGAGGGAGACACAGAATCGGAAACAGGCTCCAGGCTCCGAGCCATCAGCCCAGAGCCTGACGCAGGGCTCGAACTCACGGACCGCGAGATCGTGACCTGGCTGAAGTCGGACGCTCAACCGACTGCGCCACCCAGGCGCCCCTCCTATATTCTTAAAGAGTCCTCCTTTCTCTCCATAACTGATCGTTCCATTTGTAATTTTGATCCCATTTCCTTCTCTCTTTTCTTAGATTTGTATCATACACATTGGTTACTTGCTTTCTGCCCCAAAACATGATGTGTCTTGTATTTTTTAAACCAAACCCCAGAGGCGCCTGGGTGGTTCAGTGGTTAAGAGACCAACTCTTGATTTTTGGCTCAGGCCATGATCTCACAGTTTTGTGAATTCCAGCCCCAGGTCGGGCTCTGTACAGAGCTTGCTTGGGATTCTCTCTCTCTCTCTCTCTCTCTCTCTCTGCCCCTCCCCTGCTCGCGCTCTGTCTCTCTCAAAATAAATAAACTTAAAAAAAATTTTTTTAATAAAATAAAAATAAACCCCAATCCTTACAGGGACTGACACCCGCTCAATAATCTTTTGCTTTATGCTCCAAACGATGAAGGTTTGATTAGTCTACACTTGCAATCTCTCCTCTCAGTAATTGACTGTATTCGAGCAGATCTTTTAACTGGTCTAATGACTTCCTAATCATCAAATCCAGCTACCTAGTCTCAAACTTCAAATTCCTCTTTTGAACCTTGCAGCATTTCATGTCATTGATAACTTTCTCCAAACCAAAACAAAGGGTTATCACCTTGAAAGTTTCTTTTCGGCTTACTTCCCAGCCTTTTCTTTTTCCCCCTTTTAATCTTTCTACCATTCACACCTAAGCCCCTGTTTCAAACTCGGTATATCCCAAGCTCCACAAAAGTCCTCCTCCTCACGTATGGGCTCCTAATTTTAGTGGCACCACCTTCATAATCATACAGGTTATAAGCTTTAGCTTTGGGTACATGCCAAACCCAACAAATCTAACCAGCCACAGTGCTCATCACTTTTCCATACTCAGTTTAGATTCCCGTCACCTCTCTCCTGAAGAACTGCAACACCTTCCTCACTGTATTCGCCACCCCAGGCTCATCCAGGCGCCACCCTCTAACAGGACGTCCGTTCAGGTTAGTCAGAGGGTTTGCCTTCCAAAGCAGAAGGCTAGGGCTGAGGTCCGAGTTGTTGCTACTTCAGCTCACCGTGGGTGACAAAATCTTTTTCCCGCGCCGAAGCACGGAGAGGGACCCCAATGAGCCTGAACCTCTTGGGCGTGGGAGCCGAGAAGGCCGGGCTGCAGGTGCACCTCTCCTTCCGGCCCTGCCGGCAAGAAAGCCTGGAAGGCCGAGAGGGAGGCCTGGTCAGCATCAGAAATTCTCCCGAAGCCCAGGCTGGAGTCCGGACACCCAGCTATTCAGCCTGCTCCCCAGTTTTCGAGCTGTTCCCTGTCCGTAGACTCCCCGCCCCTCACACTCACCCCGACACCTGGGCCAGACAGTGATTCGGCGCCAGGTCCACTCCGGACCTAGGCTGTGGCAGCTGAGAAGGCCCCGAGGACCCCCGCAGGTGGTGTGCCCAATAGAGTGCCTGACTAACAGCTTCAAAGAAACCAACTGGGTCTACAGTATTGAGAAGATTAAATAAGAAGAAAGACGTTGAATGAGAAGAAGGACGTCTCTTGAGGTTTAGGATCTAAATCTTCTAGATCACCCAGAACCTAGAAGAAAGTGGGTTTCACACCATGTGGACTCAGGCGCTCGTACGCAGCCTAACTCAGTCTGGGGTCCCCATACAGCCGGCGGGGCGGGACCAGAAGGGGGCTGAGCCAATGGCTGTGGAAGGAAGAGACACCGAGTGGAAAGAGTCAGGAGAGGCGGCGTTCGGGGAGAAAGGGGCGGTGATGAGATAAGGGAGGTGGGGCCAGAGAGCAGAAGGGGTGGGAGTTCGAAGATGGCTGCGACCGAAGAGGAGCCGAAGCCCAAAAAGCTGAAGGTGGAGGCGCCGCGAGCGCTGAGGTGAGCGCTCCTCGACATAGGGTGGAGGGTGACAGCGTCTGCAACTACCCGGGGCCCACGTAGGGTTTCACGGCCCTGGAGCCGAATGGTGTCCTCGCTGTCGGCTTGGGGCCAAAGCTCACGATCGGCAGTTTACGGAGCTGCCCGCCAGGCTGCGACCCTTTGCCCCGCGCCCGCCCAGTTTGGCCGAGTCGCCGCCTGCTCGCTCCGGCTGCTCTTGGCCAATCAGGACACTGGCCGGGGAGAACCTATCTGGCGAGGTGCACGCTGCGGGCGCCACGTGGGAGCTCCCCCCGGCTGGGCTAGTGGGACTTTGTATGACCTGACTCGTGCAGAGCAGAGTCCAACCCTGCCACCTCCTATTTTCTGGGTGATAACGAGGAGGAAGTCCAGCGACTGCTCTACCCTTGGGCAAAGACAGAATTCTTAGGGATTTTTAGTAGTGTCGCGGAAGGGCGCCTTGACCTTTCTTTTTTGTACGCACTCTGAAAGTTGACATCTTTGAAGACCTTTTGCAGGCTTGGCGGGACGGTTTTGGGCTGAATAGATAGGAAATACTGATTCTTCTTTTTACTTTTTGGCAGCAGTAGAGATAATTTTGCCCCAGCACCTGCCTCACATGATGTTGTAATTTACTTATAAAATGTTGTTTGTTAAAGTATTCCTTCCTGATAAGTATAAAGTGTAACATGCACAGTCCTTGATGATTTTGAAATGTTTGTTGTAAGGCATGGATTTTTATATGTAAGTATAGACAAATTGTTTTAAAACTATTGGGATATTCCTTGATTATACAAGACAAGTCTCATTTTTTCCAAAATCATCCTTCACCTCCAAAAGAATGAAGCATTTGTAAATGAAAGGAGAAGGTCAGTTAGAGGCCTGATACTGTTTTCAAGCTGTTTTGGATGGATGGTGGCCGTATCTCTGCCAGTGCTTTAAAAAAAATTTTTTTTTAATGTTTATTTTTGAGACAGAGAGAGACAGAATGCGAGCAGGGGAGGGGCAGAGATAGGGAGACACAGAATCTGAAACAGGCTCCAGGCTCTGAGCTGTCAGCCCAGAGCCGGACACCGCGGGGCTCGAACCCAAGAACAGCGAGATCATGACCTGAGTGGAAGTCTGATGCTTAACCCAGTGAGCTACCCAGGCATCCTTCTGCCAGTGCTTTTAATGTATTCCTACTACCCTCAAAGGATTAGTTTGCAAAGAAATAAACTTATTTTTTCTTTTGACAACTCAGAATGTTCTCAATTTTATTTATTTATTTTTTTTTAATTTTTTTTTCAACGTTTTTTTAATTTATTTTTGGGACAGAGAGACAGAGCAATAAACGTGGCTTATAGGGCAGAGAGAGAGGGAGTATACAGACCGAAACAGGCTCCAGGTTTGAGTCAGCCTGGTAGAGTTCATCACAAGCCCGGAATCAACTCACCGGCTCTGCGAGATGCTTGACCTTGGCTGAAGATCGATGCTTGGTCGCATCAGTGCCACCCAGGCGCCCCAGAATGTTCTCAATTTTAAAATAAATGTTTATTTATTTTGAGAGAGAGTAGAGAAGATGAGACATCTAGCAGGCTCTGGATGCTAGCACGAGCCTCAAGGAGCTCTGTGTAATAGCACAGAGCTCATCCTCAGTGATCCTGCTAAGTGAGATCTGACTGAGGAAAGCAGAGTGGATCCCAACTTAAGTTGCCCAGGCTTGCCATGGATGTCTCTTTTATGTTAAGCTCAATCCGCCTTAGAAAAGCAGTGCTTTTTGAATCAGACCTACCTGGGTTCAAGGGCATGTGCTTTCCCTACTCTGTCCATTACTAGAGTATTTTTTTAAAAGGTACCTCCTTCACAAAGTTTCCTCTACCAAATTGGAAGACAGATGCAACTTTTCCTTTCTATCCTACTAAACATATGGTCCTTAGATTTTTCTCTTATGCTGACACATTTTCAAGGCATTTGCCTATTTTGCAGGTGAGGAGATTGAAGCCCAAATGAAATAATTAGTTAAGGAACTGAAATATGAATCCAGAGCATCTGGATGCAAGTCCATTGTTTGATTCCATTGTCAGCTTTTTTTTAAATTAATTTTTTAAAATATTTGAGAGAGAGAGAGCAAGAGTGAGTGGGGCAGGGGCAGAGAGAGAGGGAGTCACAGAATCTGTAGCAGGCTTCACGCTCTGAGCTGTCAGCACAGAGCTGATGTGGGGCTCGAACTTATAAACAGTGAGATCATGACCTGAGCCAAAGTCAGATGCTTAACAGACTGAGCCACCCACACGCCCCCAGTGTCAACTTTTATATAGCCACCCAAGAAACACTACTCTCTGCTATGCAGCCTTAAAAACAATGATAAATAATAATATTTAACATTTAGTATGTATGTATCAGGCACTGTTTCAGTAGTTTACCTGTTTTAAGTCATTCAATCCCACAACAACCTTACAGGGTAGATACTATAATTCCTTTACTAAGGAAGAAACAGGCATAGAGAAATTAAGTAAATTGATCAAGGTCACCTATCTAATAAGAGATGGGGTTGGGATTTTAATCCAGGTAGTCTGATTCCAGGCTTGTGCTCTTAATTACCATGCTGTATACTTATAACTTCAAGCAATTATCCAAAAACCCTTGAGAACTGTTAACTCAGTTTTTGTTTCTCTATTTTTGCTTATTTTTTTTGTTAATGTACATAACTTTTTATATTGTTGCAATATATAGGTGTCTCATACTTAATTCTTTTTTTTAAATTAAAAAAAAAAATTTTACATGCAAGTTAGTTAGCATATAGTGCAATAATGATTTCAGGAGTAGAATCCAGTGATTCATCCCCTACATATAACACCCAGTCCTCAACCCCACAAGTATCTTCCTTAATGCCCCTTGCCCACTTAGCCCATCCCCCCCATCCTACTTAATTCTTAAATATATTGAATGTATCTTATATGTCATTGTGTTTATTTAAAACCTGTGAAAGTGCTTGGGCTCCTAGCTGGCTTAGTTGGTACAGCATGTGACTCTTGATCTCAGCGTCACGAGTACAAACCCCATGTTGGGCATAGTGCTTACTTTAAAAAACAAACAAACAAAAAAACCCACCCCAAATTGTACAAGTCCTTAGGCAACTAAAAACTCACTTTATATAATAACCTATTTAGTGCCACTTGTAGACATGAAGTTAAAAGATTAGACACTTGAGTACTTGGACAAATCTCTTAATTTTGTGTGAAGACCTTTGGGGATTGGCTATTCCTACTTATATTAACTTGGTTTTAAGGGTTGCAGTGTGATAATGCACTGATTGGTTGGATTGCATGCATTATCTATGATGACTGGTTTGACAGTTAAGAGGCTAGCTACCCGTTTTGGTTAATTTTTCAGGAGAGTGGCTTATAAAGCCTAAGCACAATTTAATGTGTGGAATTAGACAGTGAGGAACAAATGAATGTATGATATATGTTTGTAGGTGTCAGGGAGAAGAGTTAGAACTTTGAGAATTTCAGTTAGCTCTGGGGTAGTAGTTCTCAACCAGGGGAAATTTTGCCTCTTAGGGACATTTGGCAATGTCTGGAAACATTTTTGGTACGGAGTGCTACTGACACCTAGTTAAGTAGAGTTCAAGGATGCTGCTAAACATCCTACAATGTACATGAAGCCCCCTACAACAAAAAAGAATTATCTAGATAACATTAACAATAGTGTTGAGACTGAAAAGACTACTCTAAGGGAGAGTATTTGACAAGTCTAGCCTCCCTTTTTCAAATATCCGTTATTTTTCTAGGTTGGATTGCTTGTCAGGTTGTAGCAGTTACTAAAGCTGCAGAGAAATAAGCAGGCTTTAACATGTTTTCACGTGGGGTTGGGGAACAGAAGGGAATATTGAGTGCCAGATATTATACTAGGTGCTTTATATATGCTATCTCCTTTAATCTTCCCAGCAGCCTGTGAGGTAGGTAATACTCCTTGTGTCACCGATGAGGTATTTGGGGCTGAAGGAAGTTGAGAACCATTTTTGGGAACTGATCCCTAGTTGAATATATTCCACGATGAATACCTATATTTAGGACCACTCATTTTCTTTTCTCTCCTTTGGAAATCTCATCCAAGTTCATTTCTTTAGTGGTCATCTCTAAGAGGATCCTGTTCTTTTGAAAGCTTATTGAACATGTGCCAAGTCTGTTTTTTTCCAATCAGTCTTTAAGTGGCTGCTATTTTAGGAATGGTACTAAATATTAGGTGCTAATATGTAGAGAGGTAAGACCCAGGCACCATCCTCCTGGCGGGAAATGAGTAAGGGTTGGGAAAATGATACCTGAGCATTCTGAAATATGACAAGGAGTTAACCAGGTATGAAGTAGGGTGTTTGGCTTTATAGGAAGGTTTGTTTGGAGGTAGAGATGGGAGAGAGCTGCCTCTGTAGGGGAACTACAGATGGTTTGGTCTGACTGGAGCAGAAGGTAGAGGGCATCCATACTTTGTACTGGACATGTACTGGATCATATTGCTATTGCTAAGTCCTTAAGTTGTCAGACCCTAATTTTAACTGTCTGCTGAATATCTCCTTCTGAGTGTCTTGCTGGCTCTTCAAAGTCATGTATATCAAGCTAAATCTGTCTCTTGTCCTAAATGTGCACCTTCTTACATGGCTCCTACATCTGTTAATGGCATCACTAATTCTTTCTCCACAGTTTGGAACCTAGGTATTTGCTTCATTTTCCATCCACATATGATTATCAAAGTTGATCTTTTCTTCTTCAGTAATGTCTCATAAACACCTTTCCTTTTCCATTCCTGCTGCCACAACTCAAGTGTAGACTTTATCTTGCTTACATTTGTTGGCTTCCTAACTAGTCTCTCCACCTCCAGTGTCAAGTTCTTCCTAATCTTCTTGAGACATAGCTGTACTTATTCATCATAGCAAATATTTGTAATTTCTGAAGTTGATGTTAGGAAGGGTTGAATCCTAAGAACCAACATCATAACTTACTGACATTAGCAATTAAAGA